GGTCCATTATTCTTTGGATGTCTAGATGACTAATTTCACCAGAATGCTAGTAATATTCCAGAGTGAAAAAATATGATGGGATGAACTACATACAAAGTATAGGTAACACCTTTCATACATGCACATTTTATACACTGTATCTTTTATTAAGGTAGAAATTGTAAAATATTTCAAATTTACCCTGTCATCCAACAGACGGCAAATTTTAAAAATAATTCAATCCTATTAATCCTTGTGAAAAATCAACAACAAAGAAAGCAGTTTACATTTTCCCTCAAAAATCAAGAGCAAGGCAAAAATAAACCTATGTAATTTACAATACAATATGGCTTTTCAAATTATCCTGAGAGAAGGGCAGTGTATAACACATGATTAGGAGAAATGACCCTCAAACACAGTTTCAACACAGTTTTGCATGATCCTTACCATATTCTCAAAACTGAACGATATTTTCCTAATAGTAACCAAAGTTGACTCTTACATTTCACGAAACATAATATCCACTGCGGTGGCATTCCAAGAATTCACTACTTGGAAAAGGATATTTTAGGGGCTGGGGATGGGATGTGTGAATAAGCAGTGAGAAAGTAGAAAGAAGATCAGAGGAACGCTTTAAAATGAAAATTGTTTTGGGTTGAGATAAAGTGGAAAAGATGACTTAGTAAATCACTATGTAATAGGTTTTTTTTTTTTTTTTTTTGACAGTTTGGTGTTATAATTGCATAGGGAATTTTTGGTTTTAACCTCTACAAGAAGTTCTGAAACTCAACATTATAAAGGATTGAAAGAACCACTGCATCTAAAAAAGATTAGATAATTCACTAGAAAATACTTTAGACGTTAAGTAGCAATCTGAGAGCTCTGTCTAGATTCCAGTCATCTAAAATGATCAAATGGCTAATAAACTCAGTCTGTAGTAGTATAGCAAGGGTTTTCCCATAATAACTTGAAATCAAATTTTACTACATGTCGTAATTTCCGTTCATTGCTTTCTGGGGAGCTAATTTGTAGAATGTTAATACAGGGAAAATCTTTACTGGAGCAATGATTTAGCAAGACTTATCAACTTAAAAGTTGAAATACTGCTCATATTTTATACTTAAAGGAATAATAAAATAATTACAGCAAGTCACTTTTACTCATTCTTATATTCCTAGTTACTTAAAGTAACTTGGAACTAAAATGACAGTATTTCAGAGCTACCATTTCTAATGTGGTTAGTAAAATATTACTAATAAGCAAATAATTAAAATAATATAGTAGGATATTTTAGGAAACAACCTTGATAGTGCAATGATGCTTGAATTAGAATCCACGAAGATAAATGATTTTGCTTGTATTTAGATTTTACCATTACTGTCTATGAGTTTGAATTTTTCTTTGATTTATAATGATACTACATGATATGTCACAGAATACCCATTTTCCAGCCAATTTTGTTCCTATCTCTATCTGTAGAACATTTTCGTCAAAAATGATAATCTGTTGAAAAATGTAGAGATTGATAATTGTAGACAATATCCAAGTCAAATTTCATTCAAAATTAATATTACACTTTTCGGTTTCATCCATTCACTTATTTTCCAGTATTTGCAACATAATCCCTAAGAATGTATTCGAATCTCAAAGAATGATTCAGGATCTGAAACATTATATAAGCAGTGACCAATATATTTTAGTAAGTTTGTTTTTATTTTACTGCCATGAAAATTATCTTATTTATATTCTTGCCTCTTCCTTCAAAGTTCTTTGTGGAAAACTTCACGTCATAGATCATGCAATGGGATACATTACAATTATCACACATATGATGGCATCTTAAAACTTGCATTTCTCTAGAATCTGTACAATAAAAACCCAAATTATAGATGGGAACAAATAAAAAAGGTACTAATTAGTTATCTATTGTCTCCAGCAAAAGCTTTCTGGCACAACTTGCACCTATGCTGCCTTCTGGATCATCCAATAACAATATTATTTTATTTAGTAAGCGTCACTGTTACTACTATGTATTTAATTCTTTAGCATTGGTCACCACTGCATAATGCGTACAAATACCAGTTCAAAAGTTTCCAGCAGAACAACTTGTTCTCTAAACACGTGGAAAAATGATGGTTTACAGATCAAATTTACTCCTCAATTATTTTATTACTTAAGAAGCCCGCTGGCTATCCCACGGGTTAACATACAGAGTAAATGTATGGATAATTGTGAGGCCTGTGGTAGAGAACAAGTGTCCTTTACTGGCGATAGCGCTTTGTGCAGGACATTTAGCTCCTGTTTCTCAGGACTCTTCTCTGTCAAATAGAGATGAATAATTGCCCACACACTTCAAGTGGCTATTTGGGGGGCCAAGTACAGAATCCAAGGGTAAATGCGATACACTAGCAAGGTATTATTATTATTATTTTGTCAGAGATGATTTTAAAATTTATTAGCACACTGGAAATGACTAAAAAACTGAGTCCAGACTTCTTGGTATAGCACCCTGTCCTTAAAGCTACGGCTTACCTCTAAAAACACTGCGGGCTGTGGAGTGTTCAGTAAGGATTGCATTTAATTTGTATCTTGAATAAATTCAGTATTTTATCGCTAGGAGTTGTTTATCACTCCAAATAGAGAAAATGTTATTACGTGTTTACTCAACTCTAATTAGGTATGTTTAGACTCCTCTCGGAAACTGTTTCTTTTATAAGTGAAAACACTAGTTTGTCATAAAGTAGGCAGTAATTAAATAAGAGGTGCTTAAGGGAAGCAGACGAGTGCTTCGGGGACACCGCAGGTCGTTATCAGCTGTTTCCCAGTCTTGCTTGTCTGTGCCGTCAGCATCTGCGTGGAGTAAGCTCTGCTACTAAGACACTGAAGACACCACTAAGAAAGAGATCTTTCGAGAGCATTCCTACACCTTCAACTTACACCTTTGTTTTTAGTGGTACTTTTTAAAGATTTAGGGAAATGAAATTATCTAAAAGCCAAAAGAGACTCTAAAATATTCACCCCAGTGACCTATTTAAAAAAAAAAAAATAGGAACCCTGGCCTCTTTTTAAAATACATTTGATCACCAGCTTATTATCATTTTAAAAATCCTTTTACTTAGTGCTTCTTAGAGAAAGGGGCTTCTTATTCCCTCTTTTTCAGATCTTTCCAAAGAAATGACCCGAGTGGGCTGGCGAGCGCAGTTCCGCCTCGAGCTCTGGGCAAGGGTCTCTCCGCCCTCCTGCACTCCGGCCCCGGCCCGCGGAAAGCGCTGCACCTGCCCGGGCAGCCGGCCGGTCTCTTCGGGCAACGCCAGGGGTCGCCCCTCTCCCAGGATTGCGCTGCAAACCAAGCCGCAAACGCAGGCTGCAGTGCGAAGGCGCGCGGGGCAGCACCCCGGCCGCGGGGGCGGCCGCGCTGGGGGGAATCGTCGCCCCGCGCCCCTCCGCCCTCCGCCTTCCATCCCCGCCGCGCAGCCAGAGGGCGCCTCGGCCGTGGCCTTGAGACGGGACCCGCGGGGCTCGGGCCGGCCGCGCCCCAGCCTCCCGCACCCCGCTCCTCCCGCGAAGACGGGGCGCACGGGCGGGCAGCTTGCATTGCGCGTCTTCCGTCCGAAACGGGGGCCCCACACGCACAGACCGCGGCGCCCCGGCTCTCGGGACCCCGCGGCCCCCGGGCAGCCTGGGCACGAAGAGGTCCTCCGTGCCGCGGGCTCGGGCGCTCGACGGGCCGGGGCCG